TAATAAGGCAGGAACAATAAGGCAGGAAGGGGCCAAAATTCTCATGTCCTTTAGAGTACAGAAAAAAAAAATATTGGCGCAATTTCTACTTCGGTCACTTTTTTTCAGTAGGTTATCTTTCTGAGTCATATTCTGGGCCATCAGCTATTTTTTTAATGTATATTACTATGAACACACGGCCTTGGGCTAAAATCCAAATATATTATGATTAGTGTTTGCTAATTTAATTACTTAACTAGCAATTATTGAGCATTTGATAGACATCATGTCCTGTTAAAAAGTCTCAATGATGGGTACTAGAAAAGAAAGAGAAAATCCTTTCTTTCGAGTTAACACTGACGTGAAGAGTGTGTTAGACTTCAGTAAAGGGCCAGAGAGTAACCATGTCAGCTTGGTCAGCTTGCAGTACTTGAATGTGAAATGCTCCCAAAAGGCTCGTGTGTTTGAACATTTGGTCTCCAGCTGGTGATGCTGTTTGGTGAAATGATAGACCCTTTACGGGTTGGGGACTCATTGGATGAAATGGGCCCCTAGGGAGTAGGCCTTATGGTGTATAGTTTGTTCTGGTTGTAACCTCAGATCCCTCTGCTCTCTGAGCCAGTGAAATGTGACCAATTCCGGCTACACACTCCTGATGTGGCCTTGCCCACGTCATGAATTTTGTACTCTCAAACTGTGAGCCAAACCTAATTCTTGCTCCCTTAAGTTGCTTCTGGTGGGTGTTTTGTGACAGTAATTAGAAACAAACAAACAGAACCTTGACATACAAGTCATGTTGTCTTTGCAATAACTCTGGTGCAACCAGCTATGAGAGCAGGGAAGCAGCCCTGGACAACACATGCGTGGATAAACGAGCTTGCATTTAGCACAGCTTTAGAAAGGAACGCTGTGCCACATATCCACTGTGGTCCTGAGTTTTCTGAACCTTGTTCCAGAGACTTATACAAACTAATTACCGAAGTATTTTCCTTCTAAGACCCCTAGCGAATTTATTTCGCCATCATTTCAGCTAAGTCAAGGTGAAGAGTTTATTAAACTACACCCTCATCGAGTTAAAGAAACGCAGTTCAATTTTTAGAGCTGACCTTCGAGTGTAGACTTGAGAGGAAACTGATTGTTGTTTCAGGAAGTGTGCTTATTCCAGAGACTTCTCAGGAACGGCTTTAAATTTCTAACTTTGGTGTTGTGAACCTAACAACAGTTGTCATGGTTACTGATCTCCGAGATACAGAGGAGTAGGATTAGATGCACAGGGAATTTATTAGAGCAAATGTTAAGAAAGGGGACTGGGAATAAGTGGGAGGAGCAGGAGACAACCTTCGGATTAGGGTGCAGGCTTTATCCCAGCGAATAAGAGGGGAGGGAAAGGGGCCTTAGATGGAAGTCTTAGCCCTCAAGACAGCCATAATTATATTCAACAGGCGATAGGAAAACCTTAGCCAAAGTCATGTGTCAGCAAAGTTCTCAAGCTCCTGGGAACAAGACTAAGTATTCTGCCACAGTGAGTCATGGCTTAGAAATGGCTTTAGAGAATTGTGGTCTCTGCCAATACCTGATGGGTTTGAGAGTACAGCAGCTGGGGTCACTGGTCAATTTCAGTTCCCACAGCAACGCACTGGAGAGGTATGCTTAAACCTGACAGAAAGAGAAAAGAAAACGGACCTGGATACCTTTTCCCACCTGAACTCGAAGTCACTGGACATAATTACTGCTCCAGGTACTTCTGCAGTCTGCAAACCACCTATTGGAACAACTTGCATCATGGAAATACGCAAAATAGATCTGTTCAAATGTGACTGAATTTCGTGTCTACTACTATAGTGCTGGGACCTGTTGGAGACTGAAGAAAACTTGAGATGCCATTCTACAGTGCTTTCCTATGGTTGACAGAGCTGGCAGCTGCCAAGGACAGCACTAAGGCCTTAGTGATGAACTGACTGGCACATGAGGGAATGATGTGAGTGGGTGGGCCTGCCCTTCCCACCATCAGGAAAGCAGCAGCATCTTCCAGGAAAGCAGCAGCATCTTTGTTGCATATCAGAGACTGTCAACAGTGTTAAGATTAGTGCGTAGTTTGCTATCTCTGCATTAAATCTAAAGTCCTAAAGTCTTACAGTGAAAGCAGAAGCAGAGGCGAGAGATCAGCATGGGTAGACAGATGAGCATGTAGATTTTGATATCAAACTGTTTAAATTCTCAACCTAATATTCACTAATTCTTTCATCTGAACTAATGTTTCACATCACTTTTTATTTGGGTGTCCTCATCTTTGAAAAAGTCTTTGAAAAAAGACTACATACGTCTGCAGAAAATATTTGCTAGTAAGAGTTAACACATGTGTAAGATTGCTTAAAACCGAGCCAAGGAGATGACTAAAAGTAGACTTAATTTGGCTTGTTGATCTGATAATTCCCTATATGTCAAATTTGCCTGAGGAGAAAGGGAGGAGATTATGCAACAGGAGAGGGACATGGATAATTCCTGATCCTAACTCCTCCATGCAAAAGAGGAGCTTGAAGGAGAGGAGATGCCAGGTGATAGTGATAAGAGCTGGCGGTGTTCTGCTGGGCTGTGAAGGAAGAACAGGCTTTCTCTGCTTTGGGTTTCTCATTATCCCCAGCCCCCATGGCCAGCAATGTTTTTAGGTGGGCTCACCATGCAGCATTTTTTTTCTGAGTATAATGGTCATCGAATGTGGGGATCCTTTACACACTCACAAAACCATAACACTGCCACCTCCTGTGAAAGGGCACATCTAGGTCACCGGAGGACGACCAAGCAATAAGTTGCTTATCTTTACAACATCATCTTGTGAGAGCTGGGGCGCACAAATGAGGCTAAGCCATTGCTACCTGATCCTCCAGTACTGAACAGCCTAAAGTCAGTTTTAAGAAAAGCAAAATCAAAGTGTCAAGCCAAGTTAGGTGAATGTCAGAGCAAACTGCAAGAGCCAACCTGGTCAGAGCAGAAGCCTCCTTCAGCTTTTAAATTCCTAGAAACGAATCACATATAAATGCGCTGCGGTTTCAGTATTCTTTTATAAACTTGACCTTGACCCTACATCAAGATGTGGCTGCACTAAGTGGTTATGTTGAAGAAGGACATATCCTGTCCTAATAGTTAAAATATACAACGTGTGGGTACACACCTGCTTTATAAAGGTTTGGACCACAAACATCAGTGACTGTAAGATGTTCAAACAAAAATAAGAAGACTACAAAGATTTCAATTTGTAAAGTAGATTATGCTTGCCTAGTTCCCTCTTTTTGGTAATTCTGAAGGATTTGCAATTATTTTTTTTATTTTGTCTATCTGAAAAATGTTCTTGCTATATCTACTAAGCTTTAATTGGTTTCATGATGAATTTTTACTGTTCTACACAGGGAGTTTTATTTTGTCTTTATTCGTTGACTTTTATGTGCATATCTCAAAACGTGCAGAACAAATTTTACTTTGAAAAACTTGCACAGCATCCACCTTTATAGTTTGGAGATTAGAATATTAATGAAGGTATCATTTTCCTCAACCACTGCAGCAACTTCCTAGATGAGAGGAGAAGAAAACAACCCCAGAGAAAGTTTTAGAGAGACTTATACATTAATAAAGGTCTCTGTGTGCGTGCATGTGTGGGGATGTGCAGGAGCATGCTGGGGTCCTTTCCTTCCACCGTGTGAGTTCTGAGAATAGAACTCTGGTCTTTAGACTTAGCAAAAAGCATCTTTACCTGCCAGTGTCTTCAGGTTTGAACTTATGAAAATGTTTGCAGCAGGTGGTAAGCTTTCTGACTTAAATGAAGGGAAAAATACAATCTTATTACAGGTAAAACATGAAACCGATATTGTATAGATCAGCATGCTTTTTTGTGTGTGATAAGAAATGAGTGAATACACCTTGTATTGTTTAGTATTGAGATATAGGTCCCATTCCCTGTACTCTGTGTGGATCTGATAATGATTCAAAGGGGGAGGAGTATTTTTCAAAATCTTAACTATTTATTTACCCAGTGTGATCAATATTTAGATTCTGATTCCACTAGTTGAGAATTGGTATCATTAATCAATGGAAGAAATTTGAGGACTCCAGAGTTTGAGTCTGGAATTCGGTAATTATGTTAGTGAGAGAGATCAGTGCTACTACCTTACCTACAGACTTTAAGTGGCTTCCATTAAGGTGTTTTGTATCTCGGAATCCAGGAGTTTAAAGAAAATGTTTTGTCCATTATAAATCATCTTTATTATTTCTCTTTATATATAAACACATAGTCTGAAATGTTACTGACACAGATTAAATAAAGTATAAATATTGCACCATTTTTGCATTGGCATATTTGCATGTGCAGACTTTCAGCCCTGAGAGAAATCAGCTACACTGAAGCAGAGTCACCCACACTGCAAGTTCAGAAGGTTATCATGGTGGGATCCTAGAAGCCACACCTAACAGTACTAAGAGATCATCTCTTTACAGTGCTTCAATGTGACATTTTTGACCATGATAGTTAAAAAAGCATCCTTACTAATTTCTACTCAAATATGCAGGTATATTCAGACGCATGTTTAGTCCTGCTCAGTGCACACAAGGTTTTCCTTTCAATGTATTGAATGAATAGGCCACTGCAGAAGCCACTACCCCTGGAGCATTACCAGAGACAAAGCAAGACAGGTCAAAAATGCTTGTCAAAGGCACCAGTTAGACCCACATGGCTAGTTTGTTTGACACAAGTCATAGCACAGTTGGGAGCTGCTGTGTTTATTTGAACTTAATACTGATTAGATATTCTTATCTGCTCTGTTTTCGCAAACACTAAATACATTCAACTTCATTAATGCAAATAGAGCATGCATAGCTTGTCAAACACTCATTGTTGTTGTTACCAGTAAACGAAAAATATATGCTTCTCCAAGCCTCATGCTGAAATAGGCTCTGAGTTTATGGAGTAAACAAAAGAATAAGTTCAAAATAATTTTCTGGTTGAGAATGTGACTCTGGCCCTGGGGGCATACCTGGGTCTCAACATCTGTCAGCTTTCGGGTCTGCTCTGCAGTCTGTGACAAGAGGCTGGTTCCTATCTCAAGCATGGTGGCCGTGTGGTTTTGAACCGCGTTCTGTTGTATCTGGGCCATCTCCGACTTCATATTTTCCACAATGTAACTCTCAAGCTGCAGGAGATAAAGGACAAGGCATGCAAGATTATAAGCAAAGCCTCCTGTTTGGGGCATGCAATATTTACAATGACCAAACAAGACCCAGCTGGCAGACTAGCCATCTGGCAGATATCCTTCGCATGTCAGGGGGCTGAGGAAAGGAAGTCGGACACACACCAGTCCAACTGCTAACAAACTCTTTACACACAGACATGTACACATGATAACCGCAAATCATAAGGAGAATTTTCACTGAGATTCCACTCTCCTGTTGTGGACATGATCTCATCTAACCCTCACAGCAATGAAGTGAAGGAGGCAGTTGGTTGCCTTCTTTTTTTTATTTTTTATTTTTTTCTTTGTATAGTCAAGGAAACAGAATGGAAAAGAGCCGATAATAAAGCCCATGGCTACCTAGCAAGAATGCGGGTGATTTAGCAAATAATTTAAAGGTAAATTTTACTGCTTTGGTCTTTTGGTTATTTACCACGCTGACTACTCACCTCAGAAGAATTCAGCATCCTGTTTCTATTTCCCACTGATACAAAGCAGGTTGTATTGAGAGAATGAGACAGGGAGTAAGAGGAGGGTGGGTACCCATTAAAAAAGTCTTCAAAACAGTACTACAGCATCATCATTGACGGATGGTAGAAGCTGCAGAGCCTGGGAGCCGGCCTTCACCGTTCTCCTTGCTCCTTTGAAAGCTCCAAAAGAAGGCAATGAAACTGCAGTTCATAAAATACCATTTGCCCGTCTCGCCTGGGCAAAATTTATCCCTTTATGATACCATCTCAGAGAACACAATGACCATAAAATAGATGGTACCATAGGGGCCAACAAGAATTATTAAGTGGTTGACTGTGGGGTGGGGGTGGGGAGCTTGTTAGGCACCTGGGAGAATGAAACAGCATAGGCATTGCTTAAAGAATGCAGAAGAAGCCAGCACCACCCGTCAGTGCTCTTAACTCTCCACCACGGCTGTGTGGTGACTGTGTTTTATTACCCAATTTCTCATATGAGGAAACTACATCCCAGAGCCATCAGATCCAAGGCCACACACCACACAAACAGTCAAACTTGTACTGGAGCACTGAAGTCCTTAACTCGCATACAAACACTTTCAGCCACTTGCTAGCTCTGCCAAGTCGTGCTTAACAAGCTGAGTTGGAAATCATTAACAGCTACATGATTTTTATTGATTCAGTGAACTATAATGCATCCATATTGTAAGTTCCATAGTATCATTATCATGCAATAAATAGAGCCTAAATGTAAAATCCCCACTGAATCCTTGGCAATGGCCTCTCTAACACCAGCCATTGCTGACTTCTACGTATCTATCTTGGCTCTGGTCCAGATGAACAAAACGAAAATCAAACTAATTGTTGATGATTCCTGAATTCATATTTCATCAATATAAGGTTTTTACTACAAATGCAAAATAAATCATAAAATATCTAAAAGTTACTTTAGCAAAATATCTGGCCTCAGACCCAAATCCTGGGTTTATTCTCTTTAAATTACCTCATTTCAACAACCAAAGAATGGTAGAGGACCAGAGGCTCGGCCAAAACAGTGAAAGGCTCTCCTTTTGTGAATCATGCTCCTAATGATAGCTCCACCATCTTTTGTGTAATTATCTGTGCCTCTTTCAAAAGTAAATGCTTCGGATAGAGTTAATCCACCACCGTTTCTAAAATATGTTCATGTTTGAACCTGGAAATCTACAGTGTACTGCATTCAATTTGCCATGAGACTTGTTCAAAAATGGAAAGGTATAGCGAGCCATATCATGAAGCTTCAGTTTCAGAATTCTTCACAAGAAAACTTCGTTCGCCTCTGAGATTCTCATACTAGCAACATAGATGCCTGGTACAGTAGATGTTCAAGTTCACCACCACAAAAGCAAAGCCAACCTAAGAAAAGCAGTCTAGGAAAAAAGACAGATAGGAAGGTGATGGATGGGGAAGCCGGGTGACAGCGGTAGACAAATGTTGCAAGTCCCTGGATAGAGGCATGTTTTTAATTAGATTGACCTCTGGACATTCACGTGTAAGTTGCATGATCCAATAATTTCCCCTGAGCAGCCAAGGTATTTTTTTTGTTCAATCACATTGATTTATGCTTTAGCATAATCAAAAGATTATTGGTCCCTTTACATATGATAGATGTGTAGCACGAGAAGCCTCTGACAGACCAACATCAGAAGTATGATCCTTTGTTGTCCAGGAAATTTGAGGCTTTTATGGATATCTTATAAAATGGCATGTGAGATTCCATTGTGAAGACGGCAGCCATTTACAGCTAACATTGGTCAATTGCCTCTTTTTTGCACAGCAAGCATCAGACTAAGCTGTTTCTCTTTACCTGATAAAACCTTAAGGTGTTAAACTCACGAAGATTTGCTGGTCTTGTCTGTGCTGCTTTGGAGGTAGAACTGGGGAAGCTTAGGAACCCAAAAGTCACTTGCTTATGATCAAGCAATAACTCGCTCACCCAACTTCCACATGCTTTTCTACTTTTTTGTATCTTAAGTCTACATTCTTTGCCATTAATCTATCCAGCCAGGATTATCTGGGGACTATGTATATTTTACATGCAATTCAGTATCCCTGATTATTTGTTAAAACTGCAGAAAGGGATTTTCAACATGTAAATGAGGCGCACCATGTTAGAAAATTCCTAAGGTAATTATCAAGACAGTATTTGTTTAGAAAAGCTCTTCTACATCATTCTGATTCAGCCAAAAAAGCAATGCTTTTTAAGACATTGTCCATATTAGAAACATCTGTATGTAAACTGTAAATGGTTGGTCATTGAAGAAGGAATGAGTGTCAGAATGGAAATTATTTGGGTAACTAACATATTGTCTAATTCACCTGACGGACAAATAGGAAAAAGTTTTACTCATCTTTAAAAGGTGAAGCTGTTTACATGCTAGTCCAACCTTACATGGTTCACAAAATGAGAATAGAAAAGAATTACTGACTTAGGCACCAAACTTGTACTAGTATGCCAGATTTCATGGTTTCAAGAAATTCAAATGATAATTTGATGACCTAAGAAAATTGTGCTCGATATGTACAAAGTAGTAGTTATTTTATTATACTACTGTTCCATAGAAAACAGTCCCCAGTGCTTGTGTTGGTATGGACAGGAAAACATGGAGGTTCAGCTACTTTGTGACCTATTGACAGGTCAGATGCTGACCACTCTTTACTACTGAATCTCCTATTTAATGCGGAGCTTTGGAACATCAAGTCCAAATCCCTGTGCCATGTCACCATGCATCACAACCATAGAGAGCCTCCCGGCTCAGCCGTCCCTGCTATAGAAACAAAGTAGGTCTCCCACCCTTACAGAAATCCTCATTTGAGCTGCTGTGGTGCATGGAATTCTAATCAATTATTTTTTTAATCAAATGGGGCTGTTATGGCTAGCGCAAGCTGTCTTTTAGTGCACAAAGTAACGGCACTCTGAAGTAGCAAGAACCAGATGCCATTGATTTAAAGGCGAAGGGGGAGGTTGAAGTCAAATATACAACGTGTGAGGACTACGAAGCCTACTTTCATCTTATCTCTAAACATTCCTCTAGATACAGAACTGTGAAATCCATCTTGATGTCCCTGATGGGCTACGTCCAGGAACGATTTGTAACAAATTTGATTGTCTTCATATATTTTCTAAAAATATATATTTACAGAAAATGATGGCTTTATATATTATCTCACAATATATATTTACAGAAAATGATGGCTACTGCAAGGCTTAATATTTTAAACATGCAAGGGTTGATGTTAAGCTGAGGAGTTACTGAGCACAAGAGCTGATGAGTTATGTGGCGACACATGAATGATAAAGTTATTCTGTTTTTGACCACGCCAGTGTCTGACTCCAGGGTTTTAAAGGAATAGGCCAACAGGCTAGCAAGGGGATGCAAGAGCTGGAACAAATAATGACAGGAAAGCCAACAATATTTTAAAACAGAGAAATGATATTAGCTTTGTAATGTAATTTAGTATTTATAATGGACTTTCACACAGATTCTCTGATTGCTTTTTCTACCAAGCCTACAAAGGGAAAACTGGTTCCATTTGCTAGTTCAAGAAATAGGGCCCTTGGGGTGACTTGATTGAAATCAAGCGCACTAGCACCTCGCCCTCCTTATGCTCCACTACCCTCAGAGTTGGAGTCAACTGATCTCTTGCTAACTTGGTTGACTGGATGATTAATCTCACTGGTAGCTCAAGAAGATTCGCTTCTTTGCTGCTAATTTGGGGGAAAAGCAGTGGAGGGTGATTGCTTTCACTCAGTTTCCCTAGAGAGGCAGCCAAATTAATTGGAGGTGGTTGAGAGGTCCTAGGTATCTGGAGAGGTTAATTTGTCAGCTATATCAATACAATGAATGTATGTTTTTCCAGCCAATTGCATTTCTCACAAAGTATATAAACCATATCAAGGGGAAGAAACTACATACTCAGCTTCTACTGAAGTTAAATATGTACCAGGATTTATTAAGATGTAGCTCATTTAACTCTTAAAATAACCCGTTATGTTATCTTTCTCATTTCACTAAGAGAACTAAGGAAGGTACAGATAACTGCCTAAAATCACACAATATATTATGGCTGAGCAATTCTATTGCTTTCAAATAAGGTCAGAGAAGCCAGCAGATTTTACCTACGAATGAGGAAAATCACCCATTAACCACAAACACGCTGCTGCTATCATCACTAGCAAATTCTGTAACATGTGATGCTCGTGCAAGGAATATATAAAATGGAAGGGTAGAAATACTGGGGCGAAACTTGTCAAAGATAATTTTCACATTTTTAATTAAGTAGTGCACACCGATAGATGACAATTATATTCTAAGAAATACTTCAGTTGGAAGAAAAGCAAATATCCAGGCAGCTAGAAGACAGTTAACAGTGTTTTAAAAGAAAAATGTTTTTTTTTTAAAGTCAAGGTTATCAATCATTTTTAGCTTCTTCATAAATTGCTTGTCCGTATTC